AAACAGAAAGCACGTCCAGGGTTGATTTGTTCTTGATCATATTGATTTGCAAAATTTTTTAAGTTTTTTCTGAATTGTAATTTATCTATTTTTTTTTATTCAAACTGAAAATAAAACAATGTCCTCAAGCATTCCTGTTAATCCTTCAGTTGAAGATGTAAAAGATTATGATACGAAACAACTTATTACTTTTTTACAAGGAAAAAACTTGGGCTTTAGCGAAAATGACAAAATAAATCTTTATAAGGAGATGGTTGACGGTCATGCCTTTGTTAATATGAACATAGATATATTTCTCGATTTTCCCTTTTATCTTCCTTATGAACTAGCTAAAAATCTTGACATGTTGATCGATGAGTTGAATGGCCAAGGTAGGTTCTATCATAAAATAGTAAGATGTTTGCATGACTTGTTTGTTATTCAACAAATACAATTACTCCTTTTCGTATTTTTTTTTAGAATCTAGTCAAGAATATCTTTCAGAAGTTGATACTTCACAGTTTTCAAGTGATCTAGAGCTTCTTCTTTGGAACAATCTTTTTGAAGAAGTTAATCAGTTCAATTTTGACAATAAACCAAAGTTTAAAAGACCACAATTTATGGAGTACTCAAATTGTTTTGTTGAAGAGAATGTTCGCGATGCTTTTAACTCCAATATTTGTCAAGTCATAAATCTTCTTTTGCCAGATTATGAATTTTCAAGACTATTGCTGGTGAACCAGATTTTGTTGTCCATTTTATTTCAGGAAATTCATCTAAATTTATCATGCCAATAGAGATCATTATGAATCACGTTTTACAAGAGATAGGTGAACAAACATTTCCAGATTTCTACAAATCAAATGAAAATGCAAGGAAAGCTATCCAACAGATTTATATCTATATGACAGAAGCTCAACTTCAGTATGGCGTATTATCAACATATGAATTTCACTGGTTTCTACACCGACCAGATGATGAACCATCAGTACTTTATGTTTCAAAAACTCTTTCATTACAGTCTCAATCACCACCGGTCCTTAAAACATATGCGTATATAGTTCAGAATTTATGCGATACTAAAAAAATTGAAAAATCAATAGTTATGAAGAATAAATTAATAGCAAATGCCTATTCAGAATTTTAGCTTTACTGATTTTAAGTATATAGATATATTAGGTTATGGACGAAGTGGAAAGACACTCCTATGTGAATGTGAATTTTGTGAAAATACAATTGCCTTAAAATGTACTGATCTATCGAAGACCCCATATATCTTAGAAGAAATGCGAAAAGAAGTCAAAATTTATAAAATTCTTTTTGACATTCAGGGAAAATACATTCCAAATTTGTTATGTTATGGTTACTATTGTGGAATGTACTATGCTATTGGTATGACTCTTGTTGGTACTCCTTTAAATAATTATAATCATATAACAGAAAATCAAAGAAATAAATGTCTTCTCGCAATAAAGGAAATCCACAATAGAGGTATACTTCACAATGATATTCGAAATGAGAATATTTTGCTTAACAAAGATGGTGATGTGTATCTAATTGACTTTGGGATGGCAAGTTATTATCAGGATGCTAAAGGAAATGAGAAGTTGTTTAAAGATGAGGAATGTAAATTGATTAATTTGCTAAATAATTATACTACAATAGATACTCATTAAATAGTATAAATATAATTTTATAGGGTTAATATTTAGCATATTTTATAAGTACAAAATGGAATATAAATATTACTTAATGAATGAATTAATGTCAAATAGCTAGCTTCATTGGTTAATTTAGATGATATAGTATTCCTAAAGAAATTGACCTTTGTAATACTGTATATGCAACAATATTATTTTTGAATAAATACTTAAATTTTTTGCTGTAAAATTACAAACGTAATAATAAAAGAATCATTTATTCACATTTTAATAATATTTAAATCCTTATCTGAAAATAACGTTTCCAACCAATATATCTGAATTATTTCCATTTTTAATTCTCGTCAGTAAATTATTTGCTGAGAAGATTTGAGAAGATTATTGTAAACCCTATATGCAAACGATTTATGTCATTAGAAAGCAATTTTCGATAAGCTTTCCACACATGAAATTTAATATAACTTAAGTTTTAAATGTTGTATAAATTACATATGATCATAATTATTGAACTGAACCATGCTGAAAATTTTTCAAAAATTTTTAACAGTGTCGAAAAAAAATATTGGGAAGGGGTAGAAAAAAATAATTTAAACGAATACAAAAACATATAAAAGTATTTATTAACGCGAAATAATTTAATTTGTGAAATAATTATCTTGAATAAGTTTTGGTACTTTATAGCAAGTAGAAATCAAAAATTTATCAGAATTGCTTAGAATACTCTAATTAATACGAATTACGAAAAAATAATTCGAGTTTATACTCTATTTTATATAACTTACCTGTAGTTTTGCTGTTCTTCGATAAAAATAAAGATAAAAATAAAATACGAAAAAATAATCTATTACTTTAGATGAATTCTTTCTTCAATTTACAAACACACGCATCAAAGAGGTTCAAATTATTAAGACATTAAATTGTCAGAAGAAATACTAGAATATGCGCTTTCGCCGTTCTGCATAAAAATCTTTTATCTGAAGAGTATTGCGCGGTTGATTGCCGCATAATTCCGGCCGAACATCATAATTTCGGCCAGAGTTAAGATGCTAAAGGAAAAAATTTTTTGTTTATTTATTAAACTTTTTGATACAAAAATGATAAAAAAAATTCAGTCATTTAATCAATAGTAAAAAATATCATTTATTACTTATATTTGTTATTCTAAAATTGATATTTCAAAATTTTGAAAATAATTTACAAATAAGAAACCATTTATTAATAATGAAAACACACATCAAATTGCCAACTCTATCGAAAAAAGTGGATAAAAAAGAGCATTAAAAAACTATCACATTTCAAGACCATTTGAACATTTAGGTCAAATTAAATCACGTGATCGCGAAATTTTTGTCGGTTACTACTTGTCTACAGTAGTTTAAATCTACTGTTGATTATTTATGAGAAAGAACTTTCCGTTTAGATGAATCTATTAGAGACATTTGTGGATTATGTGATGAAATGTCAAACAACTTAATTCCAATTAAAGAAATAAAACGGGATCAATTAGTCCGTCTCCTGTTCTTCTAGCTCATACCTAATGTCTTTTTTTAAAAGTGTAGAGTCTCGTTCTTGACTTAATTAGGTAGGAAGGCGATTCTATTGATTATTTGTTATGTGTATGAAAAGTATAACGTAAAATTCGTAATCTTATAGGAAATGTTACTGTAAAAAGCTTTTATTATGTATAACCCAAAACGTAGTCGATATGGTATAAATACATTTTTTTTTAGCAATAAAACCTCGCAAAATATTGAGTCTAATTTATTTTTTAATAGAAATTTTTAACATTTTCTAAGGCGATACGTGTCAGAAATTATTTGACAAATTAAAATTGCCTAAATAACATAAGAAAACCAATAATTAAAGCTATTATATTAGTTAATACGAGACCATTATTACTATAAACAGCAGAAAAAATGTTCTTTTTCACTTAAGCGAGAAACATTTTAATTATTTAATATAGTCTTTTAATAACATGCGATTTAAAAAAATAAATTTCACTATCCGGATGATTCATAAGTTGTAAAACACCTTTGAATATAATGGATTTAATGGTTGAATTATATTGATTTTTTATACTAGTTGTTGTTATTGCTTGAGGCCCTCTTGGGGATGATATAGATGGTACAATTGTGGCTGATGTAATTTTGGTTGCATTTATAAATGATTGTGTTATTGAGGGTATGGGCGTAACAGAAGTTTCTGTAGGTTCGTAATCCTGGGCGTTAGGCGGATTCCACTTATAAGTTATCTGCGAAACTATAATAACAATGAATTTCATGAGCACAACTTATAATGTATAAAATATAAAAAAAAAAATCTAGTTTTATATACTTACGATTCAAGTCAACTTGATTTGTGATAGTCGAGACTGCAAGTCCATTACAACCATCAACATAAGCATGATCAGAAATTGGAGACCAATGACCAATATGTACTCCAGGTTGTTCTCCGTCAACAGTTTCGGCCCAAATTATAAGATTTCTTATCGAATTTTTTTTACCCACATCAATTTTTACATATATTTTGGATCCTGGAACCCATCCTTTTTCTTTTACTTTTACTTTTACTCCTTTTGTTATAACATTACTTAACTCCTTTATTGAAGCTAAGTTAAAAAAAAATTATATAGTTAAATAAATAATGAGAACATTGTACCGTTGAAGTATTTAAAAAGAATACGTACCACTCGTGCAAATGTTACCTACTGCAGCGTTCGTGGTTATAGATCCAATATATAGAACAATTAATCCCACAACATAGGCAGATAAAAAGCTATACTTCTTCATAATTATATTAAAAAACATCCTTAATTTATTATTATATCTTTATATTTTCATTTGAAGACAATGATCCAGCAGATGAAGAAAAAAAAAATAAAACCTAAATTTAAAAATTATATATTTTTACTTAGTAATTATTAATAATGATGATTTTCAAGTGTTTTAATAATCATTTTTACAAAAGGGTTTAAAATTTAGAAATAAAAGAGAGCAGGAAATTAAATTTAAAGAAACATCTTTGAAGAAAATAAAAAAAGTTTGGTGCTTACCTATTGAAAGTAACAATTTTCTAACACAAAAAAAAAAACCGAAAAAAAATTTAAATACTACTTACGCCTATATTGTTTTGTCAATCAAATTCGGATTAACGTGATCTACTATTTAGCGTGGGCTGACAGCGGTAAATCATCCCATAATTAAAGTCATTTAATCATAAGAAAATTCGAAATAGTATTAACATAAATTGTTACACTAAATGAAAATTATTTATTAGTTCTATGATGGTACTACATTGCTTCATTTTAAATAGGTACACGTGATTTTGACCAGAAAATTAGGAGGAAAAAATAAACATACATGCCCAGTGCGGGGTTCGAACCCGCGTTCCACAATCATACAATATCTGAGGTGGGCGGTATGAGCTGCATTGACTTGTGGCGTTCTGCCAACTGAACTAACCGGGCTATTTATTTATTTTCACAAATTAAGTGATTTATTTAAAAATTAATTAATTTCTGGTGTTACTATAAATATTTATTCATAATGAATATTTAATTTTTATGTTAGAATTGTAAATATAATATAAAAATATTAAATCACTAAAAATCGTGTATTAAAACATGAAAAAGTTCAATTTTATTATCCAAAGTTATTAAATTATGCCAATACTAAAAACTGTATGATTACCATGGCCAATGAGATTCCAAGATTTCTTAGTTATCCAAGTAGAAGGCCAAATAAATTTCATCTAGTAAATATGTACTGCACGTAATCCCAAAAGTAATTCAAGTAATAGTTATTTCACGACATAGATATCATTGATTTTCACGGCGTACCCGTGATGTTGCTACATGAAATAATTTATAGGATTTATATCGTTAACTGTCCGCAGTATAAATATTCATAATGACTAATTAGGACACCGTGGTGATTAACCGCAGCATTTTTTTTTATAAATGATTTATGCATGATTATTACAGTTACTCGACACTACGTGACCTCGTAACTGCGGCATTATCGTGCCGAGTAACTATTAATTACCTTGCAAAAGAAAGCTCAGTGCAGGAATTGAACCCGCGTTTCCACGATTTCAAGTTGTGAAATTCAATTGATGTGGCGTTCTAACCAACTGAACTAACCAAGCGATTCATTTATTATTTTATTTTTGTTGGAGTTTATTTTAATTGAAAATTTTTTAGTCATAAATAAAATATTATTGTAAAAAAAACGTAATTTTTATTACATTATTTGACAATGCGCAGTATTTTAAATTATTAATGGTGATTAACCGCAGCAATTTTTTTTTTTTTTAAAAAAAAAGAATAAATATATTTACACTTGCAAAAGAAAGCCCAGTGCAGGAATTGAACCCGCGTTTCCACGATTTAAAGATTGCACCATGTTGTGGTGTTCTAACCAACTGAACTAACCGGGCAATTAATTTAATTGTTTATTAATTGTTATAAAATAAAATTTTATGGTTCATAATTTTAAATTATAATAAAATAAACTATTTTGATATTTTACAATTAAAATACAAAACCTCAGGGATTTTTCTTTTGTTAATTAATGTCAAATCTTTTTATCTTTCGATAAAGATTCTATCTTGCTGATTATAATTATTAACAGTTTAACGATCTCCTATATCAAATTTATATATTGAGAGATATTATGATTATATTTTGAAAATTTGCCAATTTAAATAATATACTGCTTGTCTCAATAAAATAATAGTAGTAGAAAAAAAATATATTTTTTTTTATTAAAAGAAATCGAGTATTGTGGCTTGAGATTACCATTTAATGATATTTAGAATGGCTTTACCACTTGCATACTTGCATATATCATGTGGCAATCCCATTTACTTGTATATAACATTTTATGTCAGTTTATGCTTATTATCTTAGTGAAACGTATCTTATATCTTAAGATTTTGTTAAATTTTTAGATATTTTTGAAATTTTTTTTTTTTTGAATTTTTTTTAGGGAGTTTTTTTTTTTTTTTGAAAAGTAATCCTTACTAATAAAATTAAAGTTCATTCTGTCTTATTTTACAAAATATAATAAAGGTACCGGGTTATTTTTACCCGATAACAAAATAATAATGATGTACCGTTTCCATGCCCCTGACAAATAAATAATGACAAATGAAAAATTGTTTGTGTTCGATAAATAATAAATAATAAAATAATCTAAACCTAAAAAATTTAAAAAAAAAATTGAAAATCACGCCAAAAATTGACAACTTTTAAGACCCTTATTTAATTCATGAAAGTTGATAAGAGTGAATAATCATCGATATTATGCAGTTCATCAAATAATTTAATGTAAGAATGAATATTATTATTGTTCTCAACTAATGTATCATTGTTTGTATAAAAATCATATTGTGGATAAATAGGAGATACAGGAGATGTGGGATAAAAGGAAGGAAAAAAATTTGTTGAATCTTCAAAAAATAATTCATCTGTATAAGTTGGTATTGTTGGACTATTTTCATTACTGCTGGATTCTGAAAATTCAATTGGAAACCAATCAGAAGTATTAGCCACATTTGTAGCCACAAAAGAATTATCGGTTGAATTATCATTATCATCCTTTTTATTTTCATCGTTTGGATATTCAAAAATGAATATAGGACAAATATTTTGACAAGGATTATTTTGTTCATTTTTATATTGTTCATTTAATAATTTCTGAATATCTTTTTCAATGTCTTTATAAAATTGTTTAACATAATTTGGTTCATTTGACCAAAAAATACTAGCCCATTTACTAACTTTTATCATTTGATCATTATAATTTTCTAATTTTAACTGTTTCACAAATTGTTGCCTGTAGATGAAAAAAGAATTTGGAGATTTAAAGTACGCTCTGGAAAGTGGACGATTGCGAAGGAATTCTTCTGCCGTCATATTTGGCGGAAATGGCATATTAATTTTTGGAATATCTGCCGGAAGATTAGATGGAGTTTTCTTTAAAGTGCTTGCTCGTGGCATATTTTTAAACAAGAAGGGTTTTTTAATTTTTAAAAGAAAAAGATTAAGCTTTAATTTCTATTTTTTTTTTTAGATCCTTTTTTTTTTTTATAAAAAACCTTTGCAAAGTTAGTTAGCTGAGAAGAAAAAATTGATCAATTTATATTTTTCATTGGAGTTTCAGCTCCGTGTTGGTGGCTGTGTGGCTTATGGTACGGATGTGGAAGTGATAAACATCTCGCATCAAATACTGTAGTATATTGTTTACCATTCCATATATACAGATCCATCCAGAATTCGTATTAATTAAATCTAATATCATGACTAGAATACCTATATATGTATATACATACAAATATTTGATTATCAATATGGAAAGAAGGCAATAATATATATAATTCATTGTAATGAAGAATACATTCTCCAAAAAATAAAAATTATTATCTTATATTTTTAACAATTAAATATCATAAAATTTATTCATAAAAATTTGTTTGTTAATTTAATACTAAATACGAACATACGTGTTCCTGTTTAAAGTTCACAAAGAATTAATTTAGTACTCCGATTTCTTTGTGACTGAAAATAAGTCATCTTTTGCTTAGCGTCTCGGCCGCATAATTTTTTGGGACATGTAATTAAATTTAAAATTTAAAGGATGTCGTACGTAAATCGTATTAGAATATTTATTTATTACATAATTTTTTATAAGAAAGATAAATATTAATTTACAGCTCAAATTATTACGTCAATTCCAAAAAAATATATATTTTTTTAAATCCGAGTCAAAACCTTAATTAATAATTTCTGTAAACAAATAGATATTTTAAGAAAAGAAAGAAAATCCAAAAAACATTTTCATTTATTTTGATTTAAAAATTCGCTTCGATAAAGAAAATAAATAGATTATGTTCGTACAACCAAGATCCTATTATCGTGTATATAAAAGTACAATGTTACGTAAATCATTTTAAATTGATTCTAAAATTACATTCTGTGGGCGTGCCTACAATCTTCTTTTTGGAAATGATCAAAGAACAATTCCGAAAATTTATTTCTTGAAACAATGAAGGAATATTCAATTTAGACATATATTTTGGTGCAACTATCTTTCTTTCTCACGGAAAAATAGATTAATCCGATTTTCTTGGAATTTTTTTTTTTTTTTGCTTTGAATTGTTCCCTTAATCTTTATAATAAACAGCTGCATTAAGTTAAAAAGTTTCATGCTTATCTCTTTCAGTAATTTTTGATACTAATTTCCTTTTCTGATAAAGCAAAAAAGAGTCTTTTAATTAAAATCAAATTATAACTTATCTTCTTTAAATATATTCATTAATTAATTTATTATTTATTTGATATCGGTCCTTGGCCGAAAATAAATGTATTATTGTTCGGTCATTAAGACTAAAGCTAAGCATCAAAATATTGTCAAAATATTTGAAATTTGAAAAGTATTGACAACATAAAGAAACTGTCGATTGTGGAAAAATGCACGTAGAGATCATTTGTGTTTAATCATAATGTAATTTCTGCATGATGATGATCTATTGTTCTGGAATAAAAATGTTCGGACAATTTCCGAAAATCTTTTATTATGAGAATAAATTTTACTACACTTCTCGAATCATGCTGATTAAGAAAATTCTTTTTATACAGTAATTTAATTGATGGGTGTTCAATTTGTAAATTTGGTTACGGCATGATTGCCTTAAACTAGGCTAGAGTTGGGAAGTACTGCCGTTAGTACAAAAAGTTAGTACATAATAATGCACGAGTACAGTGTAAAATTTTATCTAGTACATACAAATTTCCCAACCCTGAATTTTTATAATGCCTTAAGACATACATACTTCCCTTATATAGTAATTGTTTTGATTTGGGCCATATTATGACTTGGGGCACAACAAATGCCGTCACTAATTTCACGCCACAGTTCATTTTCTATTGGTCAGTGCTACATCATATGATTATCACAATGCCTCATCAAATGAATTTCCCGCCACAACGTCAATTATGACCCGACACATTTTAACATAAGCTGAAAAATTATATTTACAGTGGTAAAATGCCAAGAATCATCCTCCATTCATTCTTTAGTTGGTATAAACAATTTTATCCTTGGACTAACCTAATATTTATAATATTTTTTTTGTAAAAAATTATTTTAAAAATTAAAATACAAATAATATTATGATATAAACAAAATGAAGTTATGAAAAAATTTTTTTTAACAAATTACCAATTCATATCAACATCTGCCAACTTCCTCATCAACATCAAACGCATTAATAATAAGTAATAAATAATATTTATTGCGGGATCACATGATATTGTGGTTGATTATGAAATTTTTGGAAGGATTTTAAATCAGCCAATCGTACGACGCTCCATGAGGAATCGGCGCTATATATATATATATGGTAACTCATGCAGGGGGAAATATCAATAGACTGCAACTGCGGCTATTCATGTCATTCATGTGTTGCCAAATTTGGTTTAATCCGGAATCAGGAATCCGTTTTTATATAAATAGTCCAACACCGCAATTCGTTTTTTTTTTCAAATTTAAGAAGGATAGTGATTTGAAACTTGATCATTCAGAATACCAACTAAAAAAAAACATGGATCCAAAATTTTTACCAGATTTAACTAAAAATTTTGAGCAACTTTATGAAACGAAAGATGGTTGTGATCTAGTCATTTATGCAGGAGAGGAACCAAATGTTCAAAAAATCTACGCTCACTCGGTTATCCTTCGTTGTCAATCAAAATATTTTTACACAGCATTTTCAAATAATTGGGCTGAAAAAAAGGATGGAATGTACATATTTAACAAACCTAATGTTAATCCAAATATTATGAACAAGATTATTAAGTAAGATAATCGGATACATAAATTATTTATATATACGGTATATTTGTTTTAAAAAAAAACAATAAAAAATTATTATTGAATCAAACTTTTCTTTTTATAGATTTTTTTATTGCGGAAAATTAGATCTTGATTTTGAAAATGCTATAGATGTTATAAAATTATTAATAGCCGTAGATGAGTTTGGACTTTCTACGCTCGCGGAATATATTCAAGAATTCTTTGTCAATAATCAATTAAAAGTTGATCCCGTTGGAATTCTTAAAATAATTTTTGAGCAACAAAAATTTTTAACGTTACAAAATTTATCTTTGGAAAAAATTTGTCAAGAACCACATATCTTATTTCAAAAATATTCCTTTTTGACTTTACCATCATATATTTTTGAAAATCTTCTTAGTCGAGATGATCTCTTGTTAAAAGAAATTGAAATATGGAACAATGTAATTAGATGGGCTCATGCTCAAAATCCTAGTGTTAATCGTGATCCTTCTGCGTGGACTAAAGATGAGATTAAAATGATGGAACAAACTACACATAATTTTATACCTTTTATTAGATTTCAAGATATCAATTCTGAAG